TTTTCCCCAAGAGATCTTAGGCTCTTTCAGGAATGAACCAACTGTGTCAAATACATCATGTGCAGTAGTTGTCATGTCAAGAGGTTTGCAAAAAAGAAACTCATCTTTAAAGTCACCATCATTAATATACCTCAAGTAAACCAGTAACTGAACAGTTTGCTACATCTGTAGATTCATCAAGCTGGGTGCTAAATATTGGAAGTGGAGCAGATTTCATTTCCTGGATTAAGCAGGTATGTCATCTATTCTGCGGACAATGTCGTTAGTTACACTCAAATTTCTTAACAAATATGTCTACGATCATAACTCAAACAATGTCTTTGGCTGCTGGCAACAGTAAATCTTCAGCAGTGGTGTGAGGTTTCATAGCTTTGGTGATTCTGAGAGCCACCAAATAGGAAGCTTCAATGGCTGGTATATTTTGTTTGTGGCACTTGCCACCAGTGTCAAGTCTGGCTTTCTTGAGTCCATCAGCTTTGCTTCTAAAATAGTTGGCATCTTTGCCGGCAAAGCTCGGATGCTTGCTATCAAAATAGCGTTTATTTGTTCAGCTTCATAGATTCAGCTGTTAAGAACTTCACAACAAATAACACATTGTGGTTTCTCAATTCCTGCTTTAATTATTGAGGTAAAAACCATACTGTAAAAAATCCTCACTATATTTTCTTTTCTTAACATTTTTCTCTACACGATCCATTGTCATGGGATGGTTTGTTAATGAAAATAATATATAACAAGAACTTTAATAATATGAAGGATGATACATGGCATAGTTCAGTCAATACAGTTCATCAGTTCATTAAAGTTTCCTATGATATACCATTCTGGTTTTTTTTTTTTTTTTTACATACCTGTTACTATCACAAGGGGCAGTATTCACATCAACCACAGCTGAATATAAAAGGACAGATCAGCATCCAGATAAGTTCCCGTGGTACAGATTTTTTTTTGCAGTGGTTGATGATTTTACAGTACATGATTTTACGTTTACCCAGTAATTATAATTCATGAAGTGTTGTTTTACCTCCACCACTGCTGCTTTCTACACGTGTGACTGACTGGTCTGCATAAGTACATTATGGCACCAACCCTGTCACATAAACCTATATTTGTACAGGGTGTATGTAATGGGGTTGGCATGACTCATGTGGGTGCATCTGCATGTGGGTAGACAGGCCTGGAGATGGATTGAGGCGCAGTGTCTAGGTTCCTAATAAGACAGTTGGAAATGTGTTTTCCGATGGTCTTAGGTGACCCCTGTGAAAGGGTCGTTCAAACCCCAAAGGGGTCGAGACCCACAGGTTGAGAACCGCTGCTATAAAGAATTAGGATCTTCAAAACCCACAGGAGTAGTTAGTTCTACTCTTTCCTATAGGGTCACTATGAATTGGAATCAATTGGATGGTAGTGAGTTTTGTATAAACTTCTCAAATACTTATACTAAAATTTCATTATATTTTGACCTATCTTTGATATAAAAAAGGAGACCTGGTGGTGTTGTTGGGAAACATGTTAACCTCAAGGTCATTAGTTCAAAACCACCAGCTGCTTCACAGGGAAAGATGAAGCTTTCTGTAAAGTCATATAAAGACTGACAGGGTCGAGACCCTTCATAGGGTCTTGTGTGATTTGGAATTGACCTCAGTGGCGGTGGTTATTTTATAGAGCTATGGAAGTGGCAAAAATGGTGGGAAAATAAATAATTTATGAATGTGATGGGAAATTTGTAATGAAATGACACCGTATCACAGAAAGTAGTGGTTACACATGCACTAGCATTAGGCTGCTAACCACAAGGTCAGTAGTTGGAAACCACCGTTCTCCATAGGAGAAAGATGAGACTTGTTACTGCCTCAGAAACCCACACCAGACAGTTCTGTCCTGTTTCAAAGGGTTACCATGAGTTACAATCGACTCAATGGCAGTGAGTTTGAATAATTACATGTTGAGTTAGTTACTAGCAGCAAGTTAAGCAGTTCAAAACCACCAGCGACTCTGCAGGAGAAATATGAAGTTTTCTACTCCTGTAAAGAGTTAGTCTCAGAAATTCACAAGGACATTCCTACCCTTTTCTGTAAGGTCTCTGATTCAGAAATGACTCAATGGCAAAGACCTTGTGTTAGAAAACCAAAAAGGAAGAAAACACTAGGTACTACTCAGGCTGAAAGAATTGAAGAAAAAATTGAAGCCTTGGGTTGCAATATGTGAAATTACTGAATGATATAGGAAGGATCTATAGAAAGTGGAAGGAATACAGAGTCTGTGTTTGGGAATGCCCTGAAACTCAAGCCAGATTCAGAAGAAGACATGGCACCTGGGATATCCTAACAAGTTATGGATACTAACACAATGAAGAGAAATTTCAGAATACTTAATTATGCTCATGCCAACCCTGTATATTAGACCAAGAAACAACTGGTCAAACAGAACAGTGGGATATTGCATGGTTTAAAATGAGTAAGTGTGTCAGGGTTATATCCTTTCACCATACTTATTTATCCTGTTAGGCAAATCATCTGAGAAGCTAGACTACATGAAGAATTCAGTGCAGGATTGTAGGGAGTGCACATTAAAAACCCGTGATATGCAGATGGCAAGGCTTGTTGCTTGAAGAATGTGGAGGACTTGAAGCACATGCTGATGATGAAAATCAAGGATTGCAGTCTTCTGTATGGATTACATCTAATATAAAACAAAAGACACAACTAGATCAATAAGCAACATTATGATTAAATGGAGAAAAGATTGGAGTTGCTAAGGATTCTCACTTATTTGAACACAATGCTTATGGAAGCTGCAGTCAAGAAACGAAGCAAAATATTGCACTGGACAAATCTGTAAGTGACCTATTTAAATTGTTGAAAAAGCAAAGGACTGAGGTGTACCTGACCTAAGCTATTGTATTAAATGTACCACGCACTGGCCGAAGGCTGAAGAAAACTGGTTTGGAAGAAGTACGACCAGAATGCCTCTTTGGAAGCATGAGTGGTGAAACTTTGTCTCACATACTTTGATGTTGTGTTATCAGAGGGAGCATTTCCTGAAGAGAGGACATCATGTTTGATATGTAAAGGACAAGCAACATCAACAACAAAAAAACCCCCAAAAAGCGGAAAACCCTCAACAAGATAGGTTGGCACAGTAGCTGCAACAGTGAACTCAAATATAATTAATTGTAAGGATGATAGGCAGGACCAGGAAGTGTTTCATTCTGCAGAACTGACTTGATAGAACAGTGTTGGAGAAATGGGGATGAAAGGAGACAATGGACAGTGTAAGACGCAAAATAACAATAATATATAAATGGATTCATGAGGCTGGTAGGGTGGGGGAAGGAGAGGAAAAACGAGTGCTGATACCAAGGGTTCAAGTAGAAAGAAAATGTTTTGGAAATGTTGATGGCAACATATGTACAAATGTGCTTAATACAATTGAATGACGGATTGTTATAAGATTTGTCAGATACCCTCCCCCAGTAGAATGATTAATATGTTTAAAAAGGAACAGTGTTGGATGTAGTTTTCACTATTTGGTACCTACATTGATTGTGAACAATGTCACATTGTAATGATTATGGTGGGCTCTCTTTGGTTGTGAAATTTGTGTTTGTTTAAAACATAGATTCTCAGACAATTATTTGATCTACCATTCCCTCAGAAAAGAAAATTACTCAGGACACCCTGGCAATTTAAAACATTTATAGCCCACAATCCAGGATAAAGGGTAGGTCTCTCTTTTGAAGCCCCTCTCCCACCCTTATCCCCAGTGGTATTGCTCACTTTAGGAAACATGTAAGTGTGTATTGGGGAAAGCATGCTTGATTGTATTATCTTAATTTGAGAAGTACACAATCAACTCTTGTACATTCATTTTATTTATTTATTATCATTTTATTGGGGGCTCGTACAACTCATCACAATCCATACATATGCATCCATTGTGTCAAGCACATTTGTACATTTGTTGCCATCATCGTTCTCAAAATATTTGCTTTCTACTTGAGCCCTTGGTATCAGCTCCTCATTTTTTTCCCCTTCCTCCCTTCTCTCCCCTCCCTCATGAACCCTTGATAATTTATTTTGTCATATCTTACACTGTCCGACATCTCCCTTCACCCACTTTTCTGTTGTCTATCCCTGGTGTAAATTCATTTTAATGTTACTGTAATTTTTGCTATAATGGGAAGTCAGTAAATAGTGAGAACATTTATTCTATTTTTATTCTTTGCCTTGATCTTTATTATCTTTGAGGTGTCAGCTTAACAGACAATTCTTCTGTTATAACAACTACCCTGTTCTACGGAATATCCTGTCTATGCATAATCTTTAACAGACTGTAAGCTCATTGAAGGTTCACCAGAGTATCACATTTTCCATACTCAATACTTTCTGTACATGTAGTTATTGAGGGAAAATTTTTGGAAAGAACTATACCAAATGTAAAAAAAAACACCTACAAGTATTGTGGCTGATGGTAATCATTGCCATCACTTTATTTCATTTCTTATTTATTTTTTTCATTGTCACCATTTAAAAGAAATTAATTACCAGAAAAAGAGAAAAGGATACATATCTCAAAATATTTTCCCCATGATCCATGCAACCTCCAATGAATGCCTCCTGACTTGTGCATGCTTTCTAGTTATCAAAATAAACCATTGGAATTCCAAGGATAGGAGATTATGATCCCAAAAGACCAAAGACATTGTGAACAGAAATGTTTGGTTTTTGTGTTCTTCGTCTGATGCAGCACTCAACTTATGGGAAAAGGAAAGAAAACAGGCTTGCTACTGAACCTACTGTGTGAGGTGATCAAGAAGTAGAGGCAAAGGACAGATGCAAATATTAGGGGCTACCAGTAGTTGTTGGGAATTTGTTGTTTTTGTAAATTACCTTTTAGTAAATGATACTAATTTCATTATACCCACTTATGTAGCCAGAATTTATCATATAATCATTGCAAAAAATGAATGGTGTTATTTTTGTGTTTTGTTCCCTCAGCATTTGACATTGTGCAGCAAAGAAATGGTTATGGAGAAACCCAGTCCGCTGCTTGTAGGGCGGGAGTTTGTGAGGCAATACTATACTTTGCTGAATAAAGCTCCAGAATATTTACACAGGTAAATTTTAAATGAATTTCTTACCAGTTTTTCTTAAATATGTTTAAATGGTTTTTCTTTAGTTTATGCCCCAACAGTATCTTTCCAAATGTTTCTAAACCATATCCGATGTTTTATTATGTATATCTTCTTAACTAGTAGGGACTTGGGTATTTTACATTTTTTTTTTAATCTTAGGCCTGACCAACTAAATGGTTGCAATGTACAACGGAAATCATTAGGTTCAAATGTCTTAAGTTCCTTTACCCAGTGTTCAGTTAAGTGAGGGTACTTAAAGGGGTGTGTGTGTGTGTGTGTGCGTGCGCGTGTGCAAGACAGAACTTTATATCAAAGAGCAATGATACTTAAAGTATTTTTATCTGCCAAATAATATTGGTATTTGGTAAAACCGTAACAGTAGCTTTATTTACTGTCTTGGAAAGAATAGGACTTGTATAGCCTATTTTTTCTGGAGATAAAACAAAACTGATTTATATTCTGGAGGAAAATGTAAGTGGTGATTATTTGTGCTCTTTTACGGTGTATCTTAGTACGTAGAATTCTTACAGAGAACCGATTTATCATGTACATTGTAAGTACATGAAACGTGTGAAAACCAGAACCTGGTGGGACTACCTGGTTTTTTTCTGTCTTACATGTTTTCCATCTTTAACAGGGCGCGGTCTCACCACTTTTCTAATCACTCCATATTAGGTAGGTTTCTATCGAATGCCAGATCCAGCTTCCACAGGTGTTTAGTGTATTGTGGAACACATTAGCCAAGTGTGAGCTACGGATTTCATTGGCACTTCATTCTGCATAGGCTGTTAAGAGGCACATTCCTTTTTCTACACGCATGTTTTCTATATGCACTTTACATACATATGTATATTATCTCTAACAGTTATAAGGTGTAGATATTTTCATTATCTCACTTCACAGATGGGAGAACTGAGGCAGGGAGATTTTGTAATTAGATAATTCATCTAAGATCTCTCAGGAAATGAATAAGCTAGCTATAGCCATTATTCAGACCCAGTTCTGACTCCAGAGCCCAACCATGCTATTATACTGAAATAGAGACTATATAAAGGACAATTAATGTGTCTCCCACACCCTCTTCCTTAATCTAAAATGAAGGCATTTTTGTTGACAATGTATATGAGGGAGTGGGGAGAATAGACTTAGTGTAGGGCCTTTTTACTCTTAAATTTGGTCTTTTTGACATCTGGTGTTAGCTTTTTTTTTCTTTTATAGTAAGCATTTATTTTTATTTTTTTTGAGCATTTATTTTTGTAGTTACAGAAAGTAAAATTTAAAACAGTGAGGATTACACCATCATTCTTAAACAACAGCATGGAATTCTTCTGTTTTATGCTTTGCTTATTTAATCATTTCCCTAATTAATGATGGAAGTTTAGGATGTTTGTAAGTTTTCACTTGTTATAAACATCTCACTGTATTGAATATCCTTAAACATGCATTTTTGTGCACCTTTCTAGTTATTTCCTTAGGATAAGTTCCTAGAAGTGGAATTGTTTCATCAAAGGTATGATCATTTCTAAGGCTTTTCATATATATACATAAATATTGCCAAGTTGTCCTCCAAAAAAAATACCAGTTTACATGCTTGCCAGTTTTATATGAGAGAATATAACATAAACTTAAAAATAATACAGGTTTTAAAGCATGGACTCTGGAGCCAGACTGGGTTCGAGTCTTAAGCTCTCCCACTTAGTAGGTGTGTGACCTTAGGTGAGTTATTTTAACCTCTTCTGAACCTCAGTCTGCTCATTTGTAAAATTGGGATAATAGCCTTTATTTCATGAGGTTGTTAGGGTTAAAGGATGGATATAGTACAGTGAGACCTCTGCCTGGCATAAAGGAAAGACTTAGTAAAAGGCGTTTGTGTCTCTTGGTAGGAAAAAAAAATAGCTTTGTTTCTTTGATAACATTAATTGTAAAAGCTATTATTTCTATTTAGGTAATATCAAGGAAACAATTTATCGAAAACATTAATGAAAAATTAGATGTTAAAGTAGATTTTGACTCTCTGAATTATTTTAGTTTAATCCTTTGGAATTAGTCATCATTTGGAATTCTGAGTAGAATATTAAGCAGAACCATCTGGTGGCTTTTTGGTTGCTGTTTTCTATCTGAACGAAATAGAAATTGGTCTATTGCTATAGTGTTAGTATTTATTATATACTTTGAATACCTACCTCAATTGTTCCATTTAAGAATTAGATGGGAATAGTTAATGGTTGTCTGCTTAGTTTGCCAGGCGCTATACTAAGCATTCTGTGTGCATGATCTCATTGAATCCTTGCAACAACCCTATGGAGTAGTTAACTGTTCGTGTTTTATAACCTAGGAAACGGAACTTTACCAAGAAAAATAAAAAGACCTTAAGTAACTCTAACCTAAGATTACACAACTAATTAGTGACAGAGCCAGGGCTGGAGCCTAGGTCTGTTTGACACCAGGACTCTACTGCCTCTGAGACTTTGTGCAGATTCAGTGTTAATCACTAGTTATTGACGGTTTTACAGGTTTTATGGCAGGAATTCTTCCTATGTTCATGGTGGAGTAGATGCTAGTGGAAAGCCCCAAGAAGCTGTTTATGGTCAAAATGTAAGTTTCAGTTTCATACATATTTCAGATGTTTTGTGTTAAGAAAAATATTTGAAAAATAGCCTTTTTGTGGCTATAGATTTTTCCATTCCAGAAATGGTCATTAATTGTAACTGGAAATTGTTTCAATAATTGCCAGAGGGGCTTTGAGCTCTTATTAAGTATCCAGGTTGGTGTGGAATTGATACAAAAGAGAAGGTAGGATGCATTGTATTTTATATTGTATTTTATATAAGAAACAACTGAGGCATTATACTGTGACATTGTATTACGTATATAGAAATGCAGACCTTTATGCTCCATATGACTTACAGACAAAGATTTTGAAGTGTAGGATTTGACCTCGCAATGTTTGGGGGTAGGGTGGCAATTGTAAGTAGAAATGGCCTTAGTAAACATGTACTATAAGTAAAATTAGTTGTTGTCAACGATTTATTACCAAATATTACAAAAAAGTGGAAGAACCTAGGTTATTGCATACTGGAGTGGGAGTAGACTTCAAAAAGTCCGTGGAGAAATGGAATCTAAATGTAATAGACTTTTCCAAGAAATTGTTGAAGGCTCCTCATAACATCAGAGACCCGTCAGGAAATCATCTGGTGTGGTGCTCAAGAATGAAGGATGGTGCAGTGGATGTATATGAGGCAGAAAGAGTAAATGGTTAATCTTCTGGAATTGTAATGAAGTCACTAGGGGAATGTAGTAGGTAACACAGTATTATAAGTGGTTTTTCCTCTTTCTTCCTTGATAAAGGATATACATCACAAAGTATTATCTCTGAACTTCAGTGAATGTCATACTAAAATTCGTCACGTGGATGCTCATGCAACCTTGAGTGATGGAGTAGTTGTTCAGGTCATGGGCTTACTGTCTAACAGTGGACAACCAGAGAGGAAGTTTATGCAAACGTTTGTCCTGGCTCCTGAAGTGAGTTTTTGTTTCACTATGTATTTCTATTTCATTTGGCTGTTTCTAGTTGGTTAAAATGTTCCTAGTGTTTCTTCTACTAGGTTTAAATTCACATGTTGCTATTTGAAATTTTTGTATTAAAACTTGATATGATTTGAGTTTGTATGTGACACCTGTGCATGTGAATAGTTTACAGAAATAATAGATGACTATTGTTCTATTTAAGGAGCCCTTGTGGAGTTACCTGATAAGCATTGGACTGCTTAAGTCAAAGGGTTTAAATCCGCTATCAGCTTCAAGGGAAAGTATCTGGCTAATCTGCTCTCTTACAGATTTGTTTTTTTCAATCTTTAACAGTTTGCATTTTGCAAACAAAATGTAACATTGCGACTCATTAATTGGTCTCAGTGTTTTAATTTTGAGTAGTCCTTTCTTGAGTTACAATCTTCGAATGATTCAATTTAGTTTAAATTAACAGCACAGCATGTTCAACTTTGGAAAAATTATCTTGAGTGTACTTAACAGGCATCCCTGGTTTCAATGCAATGCGCTGATAATGTGTTTTATATAAACGGGAGGTATATGGAAGTCTTGCATTGAGCAAGTTTATTGGTGCTGTTTTTCCCATATCATACTCACTTTATGTCCCTGTGTTACATATGGGTAATTATTACAATATTTCAAATGTATTCATAATGGCTACATAACACTTAATAATAGACTAGTATACTGTAAGCAAAACTTTATGTGCACTGGAAAAAAAAAAATGTGTGACTTGTAGTTCATTGCAACACTAGCTTTATTGCAGTGGTCTGTACCTGAATCCACAATATCTCCAAGGTACGCTTGTATTTTTAAAAAATATATAAAAATTGAGATATATGTTTTGTAATTAGCTACCTTTATATAAGGCCAAATTTATTGATATTTATGGAATTATGTGGATGTTGTTTTCTTACAGGGTTCTGTTCCAAATAAGTTTTATGTTCACAATGATATGTTTCGCTATGAAGATGAAGTGTTTGGTGATTCTGAACCAGAACTCGATGAAGGTGAGGTTATTTGCAAGGTGGAAGGGCTCTCTGTTTATGGTCATGGGAAGTATGAAATGTAATTGTCTTTGTTTTGTAACCGAGTCACACTGTTTTTCCGCTCGTTTTTCCCCCTGGTATAAAATAGATGTTGATTATATGAAATTATGCAGAAACCAGCATTACAAAACTAGTATAGTACGTGATACCAAAGTCTCAAGTAGAAAGAAAATGTTTTGGAAATGTTAATGGCAGTATATATATATATACACACACAAGTGTGCTTAATACAATTGAATGATGGGTTTTCATAAAATTGTTAGAGCCTCCCAATAAAATAATTAAAAACAAACAAAAACTAATGTAGCACAGACAGTGAGAAAGTTTCCCTTAGTCTCATCTTCTATATGTACCTATTTACTGAGCTAAAGGAACCCTGGTTATGTAGTTGTTATGTATTGGTTACACACATCATCATCATTTGAAAGCACTAACCACTGTGCAGGAAAAAGATTAAGCTTACTACTCCCATAAATAATTAGCATCTTAAAAACCCACAGAGGCAGATCTATCCTACCCTGTATGGTCATTATGAGCCAGAATGCACTTGATGGCAGTGAGTTTGGCTTTATGGTGTATTTAGCAAACTGATTACTGTACAAAATGGAATTAGGCTAGCTTAGAGCTTTCTTTCTCACAGTTGATTTATCCCTATTGGCTGTGTTATTCTGTGGCTATATTTAATTGGTCTCTATTGATAAAAAGTGTTTGCTTTGTCATTATTTCTCAAATATTTTGTGTTTGTACTGAAGCTTTTTACAGTAGTCAAGGCTACCAGTTAACAAGGTCTACACAAATTATTCATCAACATTGGTTAAATTCTTCACTGCACATGAGTGTGATCTGTTCCACCGTTTATTCCACGTTTTGCTCCTATCTGGCTTCATCTGTTGTAACCCTAGTTAGAACAGGTTGGTAGTGGTAGCGAGGCTCTTCCGGCCTTCAGGGTCAATGAGGTCCTCTGGTTTTGGGTAGGATATTTGTCCTGTAGACTAGTTTCTACTTTGAGTAGAGAACAATAGTTTTATCTTAGAAGGCCACTCACAAACATTTAGACCCTTGACACTGTCTACCAAACTAGGATGTCAAGCATAGCTTTATGAGAACTGTATTAAGCCACTTGACCAAGGTGTCCCATGAGACCAGGCCTTCCAGAAAACCAGTCCCACAAAGTCTTGGGTTTTACCATAACTTGCCCCTATGTCCACATTTTTTGTTGTTGGTATTGATTCTCCATTGAATAGATTTGTGGAGAATCCACTTCATCCTTTCCCACTAGTAAATATTTAAATATAGATTACCATCATTTTCAAACTTCATCCTATTTGCGCTTCAGTTTTTGGTTTTTAACTTTTAGAGAATGAGTAACAATGTTGTAATTGCTTGCTGTCATAAGTTTTCCTTTACTTCCTTAAGCATAATAAACATGTATCAAAAATTGTGTTTAGCTTCTTTAAAAGAGATGTGTGATGCATTGTGTATTGTCAGAGTCAGAAGATGAAGTAGAAGAGGAGCAAGAAGAAAGGCAACCATCTCCTGAACCTGTTCAGGAAAATGCCAGTAGTGGTTACTATGAAGCTCACCCTGTGACGTAAGAATGTTTGTGGAGTTAAATTTGGTGTGAACTAGCATTTAGTTGCAGTGTGTCTTTTATAACTAGGATTATTGTTGTAAATAGATATTTCTTACAACTGCTGATTGTAATAGTTATTTGTATACCTACTATGTATATGCAGACCATTTTGAAAGAATTGTTTAATTAAAAAAGTGAACATACTTTTTAGTGTAGAACAGTTATCCCTTAGTGGTAATACAGATTTGTTTTAGGAGAGCACAGAGTTAGTTAACATTTTATCTTATTTTTTCATGAAATAGTTAACACCAAGATAAACATTTTACCATGTATACTCATGGATAAGTCGAGTTTTTTAAGCACATTTTTAATGCAGTTTTTATGGTAAAATTAGGTGGCTTGGCTGATATTTGGGTCGGCTTGTACTTGAGTATATACGGTAAGTAGTTTAATATGTTTTAGCATGGTAAGGTTGAAAAATTCATTTTTTTCATTGGACTTTGATTTCAAAGCTCCTGATAGATACACGGGCTTCAAAAAGTTCTTGGGAAAATTTCAGTGTCTTATAATTCCTTGTTTTCTACCCCATTGAACTTGTAAAGCACTTATATCTAATACGTTATTGGTATATGACTAGTTATGCCCCATACAGACAAATTGAAATTTATCTTATTTTAATTGATCATTTCACTCATACTGAAAAATGCACAAAATGTTTTATTGTAGTAATGGCATAGAGGAACCTTTAGAAGAAGCCTCTCATGACCCAGAACCTGAGCCAGAATCTGAAACAAAAACTGAAGAACTGAAACCACAAGTGGAGGAGAAAAACTTAGAAGAATTAGAGAAGTCTATTTCTCCTCCTCCTGCGGAACCTGTTTCTCTACCACAAGAACCACCAAAGGTTAGATCAAAGGAAACTTCTTTAGGCCTATAGCACACCACATTTTCATATATTATGCCATTAATGAAGCATGTCCTTTGTTCGGTTATTTAAATAGCTTAATGTAGAAAACAATGTTTTATGTATATAAAAGAGGTTGAGGTTTTGTTATCTTGAGGAACCCCCCCCCCTTTGGAAAACACGTCTAAGTATGACTGAAATTTAGTTTTTTGTATACAGTGTTGATAAATGTGAGATTATTCAGGTTCATATAGAAGGCTCTCAGTTCCTCTTACATTATGAAGTAAGTCCTTTGAGCATAGATGCAAATTTACACTTATCACCAGGAGTCCAACTTAAACAAGTTGGTGTATTATTAAAATGAGGGATGTATCTGTCACTTTTTTGTTCTGTTTTGAATGGGACCAATTTCCACATCAGTTAAACTATTGCAAAGATGAGTGACACTCATAGCATATCATTTAAGCCTACCGAAAACTTCTTTTATCTTTCTATAAAGGAGAGGTTAAAGTATATCTGGGTGAGAGGAGAACTGTGTTCTCCTTTTGTGAACTTGTGAATGTCTGTTAAAGTTCCAGCAAGTACTCTCTTCCTTCTATGCTTCCCTTCCCTCAACACCTTCTTACCTGTTTTCCCCAAAAAGGGGGGGAAATTGCTTCTATTAGGTTCAGACTTTCTAGCATTGGTAGTTCTTAGTGGTTTTGTTTGCCACTTTCCTCATCTACTTAGAGTATGTAGGAACTTGCTTGTATTTTTACTTAATAATTCAAAGCATATAGCCATAAATAATCTTGCATAATGAGATTTTGAAAGCTGGCACATAGACTGGCATGTGTGTGTGTGCCTTTTCAGGAGTCCTCCAGTATAGAGCAATAGTTTAGAAATGAAAAGAAACTATAAATATTTGGAAGTTTCCCTATAGGAATGTTGGTGGTTTTCCTTGATTAGTAGTCTAGGTTTGTTGCATTTCCTGCAGGCTTTCTCCTGGGCTTCAGTGACCAGTAAAAACCTGCCTCCTAGTGGTACTGTTTCTTCCTCTGGAATTCCACCCCATGTTAAAGCACCAGTCTCACAGGTAACCCATCTGTGAACACCTTGGATTGTATCCTTGTTACATTGCAAATTGCTTCTCTCTTTAATACTTTTAAAATTGAATCAATCCAGGAAATATGGATAAAATATACAAACAATTTAAATGTATTAAATGTAAATGCACCCATTTTAAAGGCCAAATATCTCCATTCATCATCTACATAGGTGGTATTGGGGTTTGGGTGTGTGAAATACTGATTAAGTTGGTTTTCCAGTATATATTACTAGCATCTAAAAGGCTTCTTAACAATACTTTCTTTTTTAAAAATTGTTTTTTATTTAGCAGGAAATTTTTTTGGCTTTTCATTAACCCATGGGAGAAGTTTGGAAAAGCGTTATCAAGAATCATTCCTTAAAAATCAAACATACACACACACAAATTTTTTAACATATATAGTGCCTAAGCTCTCAGTCCGTAAGTGGTTCACACCATTTAGTTGAAGCCTGTACCAACTTATGACTGTAGTAGTCACCCTAACTGGTGGTTCCAGTGTTCTGCTTTTTGTCTGTTATCTTCCCCATTTCAGAGCTTCCAAAAACATGGAAATGAGACACCAGCTACCTGAAATGTCTAATTTTTAGGCATAGTTCAAGAGTGTCAAAATCTTTCTCTGCATTTTAAGTCAAACTACATTATAGGAAAAGCAAACTTAAAGTGATTTAGGGCACATAAAAGTCAGTTTACATATATGTTTTATATACACCATACAGTGAAATATTGGATTTCAAAAGTAGCTAGTAATTAGTAATCTTTGGCGCTCGTTATAACCAGTCACATAAATAGAACACATGGCCCCATTATACCATTAAGATAAATGTTGAGTGGCCACTTGAGAGATACATATCATAATTTTCTCTTAAATAAGAAAACTGGTTGGCCTATTAGTGTTGCTTGTGTTTTTCAACATATCTGAAGACCTTATAGGTCCTTTGAATATTCGTTCTTAGAATTAGTGACACTTTTGCTTTCTTTTTGTGAGTTATAAATTAAAATTGCTAATGCTTCTTATGCCAGTCATTGTGATAAGCGCTTAATATTCATTGTCATTTTGTAGATAGGAAAAATAAGAACTAGAGTGAAGGTCAGTAACTCATCAGACAGCTATTGTAAGTGGTAATGGATGGATTTTTAATTTATACAGTTTGACTCTAGAATCCCTATGTGGCCACTGCAAACCTATAGTGTAAAACAAATATTCCATATTCCCTTACTGAAAGGGAACACATCTATATTCACACCAGAGAAGAATATTCATATTTAATACCACCCCTAAATTACGTTGTGTCCCTATTGCCTAGGAATGTAAGCTAGTGTTTGGTTGTTGTTTTTTCAAAGATTTGAGTATTTCTAAGTTAATTTTCAAATTGTAAGGAAAGTATACTATATTTCCTAACCTCCACCCCTTGTTTGGAAATAAATCTTCAAAAATTCAACTTTAAAGAGCTCTCTAATCTCTTTAGACTTATATTTTTAATAGACCCATTTTGTTGTTTTGGCATAGTATCTATTTCCTTACCCTTTTAGCATTAATAAAATGGTAGGCATGAATTAAGATGGTGAGCTAATTTTTTGGTAAAAAGGTTTTGTTGGAAATTGAGTACTTTATCTCAATAGCTTATGTCGTAGGACTGTGTGTTAGTTCTGGTTGTACGTGACTCGATTTGGTACTTTTCCCATTTCATATTGGATGGCCTGCTTCTGTGGGATTTGTTACGTGAACATACATTTTGTCTGTTTGGAGTAACTTGTTTTAATCACTACATTGGGCCTTAAAATCACAAGTAGCTTAATTAAGATAAATTAACCTTTTATTGAAAGGAGCATTGTTAGGTTTTTGGTCTCATATTTTTCTTGCGTGGCAATGATCTGTTATCTACTTGAAAGTCAGGTTGCTAAGTTAATGGTATGATTTATTTGTAAAATGTTAGAAATTATTGGTCTGTATGTTTTAATCCTTAAAAGCTGAGGAAAGACTCTTTTCCCTGTTTGTGTAGTTACTTTTGTGTTGGTATTCAGTTTTGAAAGGACGTTGAATAAATCAGCCAGGGCCTCAAGCACTTTATTAATAGCATGTAGATTGGATGACTGAGTCTTAAGGTTTTTCTGAATTTTTAGCATAAAGATACACTTTCAGTTGTTATGATTTTCTAGCTTTTGTTGAACTTTGAACAAAATGTTTTGAACCAAGTTATTTTATAGTATTGAACTCAATACATACCAGTGGTCCCTTGTTAGACATAGAATATTCTCCTACATATTTTGGTAAGAGAACTAAAACAATAATTTAGTTTAAACTAATAGTTACTGAAGATTAGTGTCGAATGATACTGTATTGGATGATGTAGAAATTAATTAGCTATGGTCCTTATATTAATACATCGATAAAATTATTTGAAAATGATGAGCAATAAATTTGTTTTTAAGAATATTGGGAGCAAATTCATTTTGAAGGAATGGGAAATGTACATGATGAGAAACAGAATTTGGGGAAGAAATCTTGTTAAGAATGCTTTAGGATTAGAACTATAATACACTTGATTGCAGTATATAAAAAAAATCATCGTCAACAAATTGCTATTTTTGAAAGAAATATTTCTTTACAGTCAGTTTTATCACTGATCTTACAAATTATAACATCTAGTTATCTAGATGATGAAAGAGTTTGAGCCACTCCCTGGACTGAGAGCCTCAGAGATGATCACCCATAAAGATTGAACTGAAATTTCTAGCTTTCTGAATTGAAAACATAATGATTTGCCATAACCTACTGGGTTTTTGGTATGTTTTCAGGGTTTCTATATCGTCTCTTTATTGGGCCATAAATAAGACGGGGGCTTCAAACAATTCATGGAAAAATCCCATTGTCTTCCAATTCTATGTTTGACAAACTTTTTTAAGTCCCTACTTGGGCAATAGTAGACCTGAAGAGGTTGGAGAAGATTTAAAATGTCATTATATTATGAAAAAAGGTCATCACAGATGAGAATGTTTTTAAAACAGTTAAATATATGGTTTAATTAGCTTTTAACAAAAACTTAATGGAAAACCTCATAACAGAGCATATTTCCCCACCCCCACCCTAAACCCCAAATGCAGTTGAGGAAAGTTACTGGGTCAGTACTTAAATAAATGTACACCTTTCCTTTAAGGAAGAATAGTAGGCATCTAAGGGACTTCTTTTATTATATTTGTTTCTTTATTTTAAAACTTAATTTTAGTAAAAGTATATTTTTGCTATATCTCCCCTCCTTCCTTAAAAAAACAAAAACAAACACCAGCTCAGTGCCATTAATTTGATGCCAACTCATAGCAACCCTGTGGGAGAGGGTAGAACTGCCCCTGTGAGTTTGAGACTAAGATTTGTTTATAAGATGGGAACTCAGATGATATTGCTAAACATTTTTATATTTGAAGGGCAAGAAACTAGACAATTGTGTCAAATGCTTTTGTTTTTCTAAGATATAGATGGCTTATCAGTTTGCATATGTATTTACATGGTGTTTACATGGAGTAGCTCTTACTGCATCTTTTGTAGTGGTAGTATTTTGTTTGCTTGTTTTGGGCAGTACCTTTTATGCCATTTTAGGGTAGACATAATTTTGTTGGGAGGGGGCCATGACCCTGTATAAAGCATCTTATATTGAGTTTTAAAACCTTGAGTGAGAAAACAAAACCTATCCAACTATCCTGGATTGGTACAGAATATCTTTGTAGAAAACTTTTTTCACATGCATAAGACACGATTAAATTTTACAGTTGCCATTATACTTCCTATTGACTTGTTGATAGCTGCCTTTACTTGACTTTTCTCCTGTAGAATATTTCTTAATAATATTTTTTTCTTATATTTTAGCCAAGAGTTGAAGCTAAACCAGAAGTTCCAACTCAGCCACCTCGTGTGCGGGAACAACGGCCTCGGGAACGACCTGGTTTTCCTCCTAGGGGACCAAGGCCTGGTAAGGCAGCCCTTTGAAAGCCTTAGCATTGAACACTGGAAAGGTCAGAAAGACTTTTAACTTTTCAACAGCAGAATGTGCTTTCTATACAGATCTTTTCATAGTACATTGTTTAAAGGTTTGGATAACCTATTGAAATTACAGTCTCAGGTAGAGCCAACTACCTTTTAAAGGAGGACTGGTTTACCGCCCCTGGAATAATGTATTTGGAAGGTGTAATAGGCTTTCAAGACAAATTTCAATTGGTTATTGTCAGTGGTTCTAAGAACTCAAACTGAGCTGCCAATAACCTACTCTCTTACTTAGCACTCTTATCTCTTCACAGATAAACAAATAAACACACTCCGATTCTTCCTAATTTGATTGTCTTAGGTAGTAAGTAAATTGCCATGATTTTTATTCGTTTACATTGTTAGCTAATATATGTAATATCTCTACTTGAATTCTTTAAGTATGTTTAGATTGCTTTGGGGAGGAGATGAAAAATAGTTATTCCACAAATTTTTCTTCTGATGCTGGTCTTATTATGATCTATTTGTGTTCTTGGGTGGAACAGTGTGCTGTGTGTATACACACCCCTGAAATAAGAGTACATAAATGAGATTACTACCCCTGCAATCTACATTCATACAACCAGTAATTGTTTAATTTGTGAATTTCAGAAATAATTAGCCTAAATATACATCGCTTAGATAAATGGTGATGGCAACATTCAGTGAAGAGGAAGACATGCATCTGTAATACTTGGCTTTCATACCATTTTCTGTAGTCAACAGACCATTCGCTCTAGAAAAAGGAACTTCAGCAATCTAGTCATATATATCTTTATTCTTCAATATAGTGTCATGTTATTAGCTAACCTACTAATAAGATACTTCCACCTGTTTAAGGAGTGTACTATCTTACTAAACTAAAACAAATGTAAATATTGATTGTTACACATTCATGGCTTTGAACTATTGTTTTCTGTGAAGCTGGTATATACTAGTGTTTGTTCTATTTTCTCTTCTTAGGCAGAGGAGATATTGAACAGAATGAATCTGACAACCGTAGAATAATTCGCTATCCAGACAGTCATCAACTTTTTGTTGGTAACTTGCCACATGATATTGATGAAAATGAACTGAAAGAATTCTTTATGAGTAAGTGGTTTATTTTGCTAAAATTAAGCAGCAGTATGGAACTTTTTTGCAGATTCGGTGTTTTGTTTTTAAATATTTCTCTGTATATTGTGTGTTCTTCTAGCTTCCAGTCTCACCTTAATTGATCAGAAATACAGAACTGTCAGATCTTTCTCACTGTGTCTAGTGTTGATTTGGCCTTCTTCAGTATAGTAGAAGAAACATCTAGAGCAGTGATTCTCAACCTGTGGGTCACGACCCCTTTGGGGGTAGAATGACCCTTTCACAGGGGTCGCCCAATTCATAACAGTAATAAAATTACAGCTATGAAGTAGCAATGAAAATATTTTATGGTTGGGGGAATTACAAAAACATGAGGAACTGTATAAAAGGGTCGTGGCTTTAGGAAGGTTGAGCACCACTGCACTAGAGGAAGCTGTCTTAAATTCTGAGATGGAACTCATTTGTCTCAGAAATGGTCGGGGTTGGGGGAGGTGTTAATATGTTGTTTTCCTAAAACTACAGTAACTGTATTTGCAAAAGAACAAGATGTAAAAGAGTAACCAAAGTAGCTGCTAGTTCCTGAGGTAGACTATATGAGAGAATGTACCTTAGGTGTCATTGTGTATACAGCTTGCAACTTTTATTTTCAAATATAGCTCGGTTCATCCTGAACAATTAAAGCCAGGAAAGTGTTTTGTTATATATTTATTTAATCTCTGAATGTAATGTTTATTTTCACAGGTTTTGGAAACGTTGTGGAACTTCGCATCAATACCAAGGGTGTTGGGGGAAAGCTTCCAAATTTTGGTTTTGTGGTTTTTGATGACTCTGAACCAGTTCAGAGAATCTTAATTGCAAAAGTAAGTGATTTATGAGACATAATTATTTTATTACTCTTGTATATACTTTAACAGGATGCATTTTTTTTAATCCGGCACATTTTTATTTATTTAATTTTTTAATATAGCAGATTTTTAAAACCATAGAAAATCTTTTTAAAATGGTAAAGCTAAAGGTTGTTCATTATGAAATGGTATTTATGCAAAGAATTATGATTTGTTAGTTTTAAAGAATATGGATTTTTTTACATTAACTTTTCTGGTTAGAAAACTTGGAAAATAAGCTTTCTATAAAAGTTTTATCAGTGCAAAGTAGTAATGTATTTTCTATTAATGTCTATCTGCCTATTTATGTTTTCTCCCTTTTTAAAGCCAATTATGTTTCGAGGGGAAGTCCGTTTAAATGTGGAAGAGAAAAAGACAAGAGCTGCAAGAGAACGAGAGACCAGAGGCGGTGGTGACGATCGCAGGGATATTAGGCGCAACGACAGGGGGCCTGGTGGTCCACGTGGAATCGTGGGTGGCGGAATGATGCGTGACCGTGATGGAAGAGGGCCTCCTCCAAGAGGTGGCATGGCGCAGAAACTTGGCTCTGGAAGAGGAACCGGACAGATGGAAGGCCGCTTCACAGGACAGCGTCGCTGAAGCTCCACTGTTGGCAGAGTCTTGGCAGTGGTATACTATTCATCGTGTTTGCATTCTTGTTCTTTTTTTTTTTTTTTTTGGCTTTGGAATGTGACACAGCCTTTTTGATCATTTCTTTGATGTGAAAAGCATCTTTTGTTTATCGGTTAAATTGAGGTGGAAATTATTTCCCCAATTCCACAACAGGATTCACATTGTTAATTTATAAATTTAGACTTGGAGAATTGCGGACTGAGAAATGTCCATACCTTAAACAGTCTACAACAAAATGAACTATAATCCCAACTGAATTCAGGGCCTTGAGTCAAAAAAAAAAAAATCCTCTGCTGCACATTTTGTTTTAAGTGTGACTGTTTCTGCCTATTAATGTTAGAAACACAAATAATGCAATTTGTGCAATTGGGGAATCCTGCCTTTTTTTCCTTGACTCCCCCTCAAAATACAAACCAAGAGAAACTCGTGACGCACTCATCCAAATGCACTCATGAACTCGTTAATACTGACATCTGCAGCAGGAGGCAACAGGGGGAAAGTGCATCTTTTTCAGTAAAGAATAGTTGGTGAGATGATGAGGGCGTTTTATCTGCTTGCTGTGACCAGCGTGTGTACTCATAAACCTTAACAAGACTACAAGTATACTCCAGAAGGAAACCATTTAGTTATGAACTTAATAACACAATTCAGAACTTCAGAAGCTTGGTCTTGAATATTAGACCAGGTTTAGTAGCTCCATATCTAAGATTTTTCTACCTGCCCCTCTTCAGTACAGGGATGGCTGGCTGCTCAACACACTCCTCCTGCCCCCTTTCCTTTCTTTATGCTGTGTACAGTGAAATTGTCTTTACTGTATTTTTGTTCTCTGGTAATGTAATAAGCATGATGGTGCCTTCTATTAATACATCATTCCAGTCTTGCTGGTATTTTGTACAGTATAGTGTATGAATTGCTGTGCTGCGAAGCCAAACAGCTGCAGAATGTTGAAAAATCATTGAATTGTATAAAAATTGCAGTATCTTTAAAATCAGTAAAATTGACTAGCATTTTATTTACTTTGTTCTTTAGTTAACAAACTCTGTTCTCTGTGGGAGGGAGTCTTGTGTGTTTGGGAGGGAGAAGGGAAGGAGGAAGTCAGCTCTTTGGAGTAAGTCTCTCGTTGACTTTCTCTTAGCAAGAATTTGAACATTGGAGAATTAAGAGGTGCTTTGAAAAGTCAAATCAACTTCGTGTACATTTTTAGTGACATTTTAAAAGCAGTCAGATTCCTTAAATGGCAAGTGAACCTGAAGTGAGGACACTGCACTCTTCAGAGAAAAGAGCAGCAGCTCTTATGTGTTTGAACTTTCTACGTGGGGGGCAGGGAACTGTCATTCATTTTGCACAATTCTTGAACTGATGTCAGCACCCGAGTGGCTCTGCATTTAAGTCTGGGATGGCATCTTTTATTTTTACATGAATCTTTAAACAATTCTGTGAGCAAAGTTTGTAGCTGCTGGAATGTCTGTCTGTATAGCAAGCTCCAGTAAACTAAAGTATGGTGAAGGATAACCAATTTTATGCTTCGAGCATTCAGTACATACAGTTTCTGATGTTTCAAGTTAGGAGTGAGATAAATAAGTGTGACCACTGAAAGCTGCTTGTTATTGTTAGCATGGAAGACTTCTCCATTCTGTATTAACCACAAACAAAAATGGCACTTGAAAAACTGGTTATGAATTATGCTGTCTAGTAAACTAGTAAATGATGCACATACTTTATTTTTAGGTACTGGGCAATATAAGTAAAATTAAACCTGTCATGTTTTGTTCCCCCTTTGAATGAGGTCTTCCATGTTTGAAGAAAGATCTTGCACTATTGAATATTGTTTTGGAGACACATTTCTATTTTGGGGGTTTAAGGGTTTTTTCTGTTTTTGTCTTGTTTGAACATTTTATACTTTTAAATATTTAGATATAGTACTTGAAGTTCTTACCATAAACTTGCTTTTGCATTTTGAAGCCTTTATTCAAACTGCTTTTAAAGTAAGTGGTTTATAGTCAGTGTTCTTCCTCATTCCCTTTTTAAGTGTTTATTTTTTGTTATTCTATTTTCATTTTGTATATATATGTATATATATACATATACAAGGGGGCTTATAAAGGTCTATAGAAAGATTCATTATCTTTTAATTCCATTTTCCCATAAACTTTCTGAAGCCCCTCATATATGTGTGTATGTATATATACCCACACCCCAAACCAGGAGTATTGCCCTGCTACTTGTAAAATGATGTAACTATGTTCTGACACCAAAAGTAACAACAGATAATAAATGTAAGAAAATTAGAGCAAAGAGCCATTCAGCTTCAGTCTTTACATACTATGAAGAAAACATTAAAACATCATCTGGAGACGTTTACATGGTGATTGTTCACCTGCAGTACTGTGGACTTTTGACATTTGTCCCCTTTTCAGTGAAACAAAAGTAAAAATATTCATCTATCATTATTGTTCTTGCTGGTGGTTTTGTTTTTTTTTCCCCTTTGGATGGTAATATTCAATGCTTTTCACACTCTAGCAACCAAATTGGCTTTTACCATCATGGCTTTTGTAGGTATAGAAGACAAAGGATTACCATCTTTATTGCTGTAATGTGTTAAGCATTATATGCTAGTAGAATCTAGTTTCATTGTTTCAGGTGGAAAGTATTTTTTGAGTTTCCATTTTGAATGTGTTTGGACTAAGCATACAATAAACTACTGATGTCTGCAGCATTTATCTATGTCCTAATTGAATCGACAGGTTTATGTGCAAAGTGTTTTCTCCTAGTTCCATTTCCAACAACTTTAAACAAATAACAAATTGTTCTAAAGCCAAGTGTTTGTGATACCTGGTTGTATTAAAAATAACCCTATAGATAACATCCGAACATTGCTGGAGATTTATCAGTCCAATTAGAAGGCTGTTACTCAAGTTAAAGAATGGTCTGACAGAATAAGTAATAAAGGTAAGAATGATCTAAAAGCAAGAATGAAAAACCTTGAGCTTTCCAAATGATTACTACCTCATCCTAAGAGAAACCATGAAAGGAAAGGATTGGAAGATTGGTCATCTTACGTTGTGAACATAACTAAAGTTCAAAGATGGGATGGGACCGATTTTCTCAAGCTCTACAGGAATATTACAACAACAGATAAACAATGTCATTTTTGTGAATTGTTCTTGGTAGGTGTTGCCTAGTCAATTCTGACAACCCTATGTACAATAGAAGGAAACACTGCCTGGTATTGACCATCCTCATAATTATGTTTGAGCCCATTGCTGCAGTCACCATGTCTAATAATCATCTTGAAGGTTTTCTCTTTCACTGACCCTCTGCCAAGCATGATAACCCTTTTCCTGAGACTGGTCTCCTAAATAAAAGTCCAAAGTATGTGAAGTATTCAATGAGAGTCTTTGCTCTAACAAGTAATTTGGATGTACATATTCCAAGGCAGTTCATTTCTCTGGAAGTCCATGATATACTCAAAACTCTCCACCAAAACCATAGTTGAGAGGCACTGAGTCCTGTCCTCTTCCTCATTCATTGTCGAGCTTCCCTAGGAGATCATTGAAACCGCCCCGACTTGTGTCGAGCACACTGAAATCTTCAGAATGACGCGGGCTGCGGGTGGGGGCTGGCTTCAAGTAAAAGTTCTAAAGCATATCTAATTTCTGAACTTTATATTTTCCCTCAGTGAGAAGGTATGGTTTAGATAAATTATCTTTCTGATAATACATAACACTTTATGATGTTTCCTAGTTAGTCTTCTGGGGAGAAAGATGTGGCTTTCTGTCCCCATAAAGATTTGCAGCCTTGGAAACCCTAAAGGGGCGATTTTATTCCGTTCTATTGGTTTGCTGGGGGTTAGAATTTGACTCAGCAGTGAAGGATGTCAATCTTCACAAGTTTTTTGTTTCTTTTTAAAAAAATCATTTTATTGGGGGCTCATACAACTCATCACAATCAATTTTGTAAGGCATTTGTATATTCATTGCCTTATCTTGACGTTTTTAATGATGATAAAAACTATTATTTAAAGTAAGACTTTTATAAATGTATCACTTTGAATTATATAATATTGCCTCATTTTCTGGCTGTGGAAAAGTATATTTTAGGAGGTATAAATGTATCACTACATTGGAAATAGATCCTAATTTGAAGGGAAGAAATTGTTTGGTTCAGACTATTTATGTGGCTAATTTTAGCTACTGAGGGTAATGTGTTTCAATTGTGATAGGTGCTGTATTTGTCATAGCAAGAGACCTGAAAAGTTAGTGGAATCATGTTCATATTTTAAATTCAGATCACTTGCTTATCTGGTATTCTAAATACAGGTGTGTAGAGTAGTTTGGGTTTTGTGTTTAAGACCAAATTATTCACCAGGTTCTAAATTATTTTAAGTTACTGGTTAAATGAATATGGAAAAAAATTGCTCTGGGCTTGCCTGCCCGCCTCCTTGAAATACTTTCACTTTTGTAATATGATTAGTCTCAGAACTCCTGTGTGCTGTGCTTTCTCTTTTCTAGGCCCCATAATCCCATCTTCCTTTGTCTTGTCCAGATTTTTTTTGAGTGGTTTCTTGTAGATCAGGTGCATTACATTAGTTTTCATATAGTTTCCATTCAATGGATTCCATCTGGGAAAAGGATTTTGGAGGCAGATAATCTAAGTTTACATTTTTCATCATATAATTTTCCACACTTAATCATATGCCCTCAGTGGAAGTTGTTCATGTCACTGATTCAGTTGCATTTGTGTTGTTCACCTACCCTGCTTCTAGTCCCAGCATGTCTGTCCAGATCATTTCACCTACATCCACATAGGAGTTCTAAATTAAAATTGCAGCTCCTGAAAACTATTTTCACTTTCCAAGTGGCAGGTGTGTATACCTGACTTAAATGAATGTCTTTTTCTGTCCTTATTTCCCTGTTTAGTTTAGTATTTTCTCTTCTCCTTCCACATGTATCCATTTTACAGGTCGTAAATATTAGTTTGTTACCTCTGATTAACTTCCAGTGGCTCATTGAATTAATTCATGTAATATCATTAAGCTTTTTACATTATTGTAGGTACTGTTAAAAAGAATAAGTTCCCCTGCTCTCAGAAACGTTAAAAAAGGAGCTAAAGCCCTGTCAAAGGAGTGAGTTGGTGTGTTTTTAAGGAGGTGTGAGCAGGCCAGCAGGGGCTCTTCCAGCCTCATTTGGTCTGTACCACAAGCAATTGAAAGGTCTTGAGTTTGAGTAGGGAATGCACAGCAGTGGCAAGATACCTGTTTGGAATTGTTACTAGCTACAAATTAAATTTGAGAACAAGAATTGTGAGTTAACCATATAAAAAGGATGTTGCAGTATTTCCTTTCGAGAACTATGATAACTTTGATTTTAATGGTGGTGGTGCTAGGTAGGAATCTTGAAAGAATGGTCACCCACTAGACTGCAGGTGATCCAGAAGAGTCCATTCCCATAAGTCAACCCATAGGTGATTCTTAGAACTACCTCCTTGTGGGGGTGGGGTTTTAGTTTTTAAGTCATTTGTAGTACTATTAAAGATGAATGAGAGAGATGGGGTCTGTTCATAAAAAAGATTTAACATTGCAGACACTGTATAGAGTCACTATGAGTCAGTTGACTCAATGGCAGTGGGTTTGGGATTTTTATTGAACAACATTTAGTATTTAGCAAGTGTTTATTGAGGACCTCTGCACCAAGCACTCCGTGTTAGGATACAAGAGTGAGTAGATTATAAAACAGTAGAAGTGACCCAGAGGGTTTCTGAGGCTTTAAATATTTACAGAGGTAAACAGACTCACCTCTCCTACACGGCATCAGGTGAGTTTGAACCACTGACCTTTTGTCCAAACGCAACTCACTGCTCCATCAAGGCTCCTTCCAATTAAGAATAAGGAGCCATTAAAAAGTAGTACAATATGCTGCCTGGAGAAAAGATAAGTGGTTGAGAATGGAAGTCGGCAACCTGGTGGGAGGCTGTTGTCAACCAAAAGCTGTTAGAGCTGGTGGGGGTGAATAG